TCCGGGCAGGACCGGGAGCCCCGCAGAGGAGGCCTGTTTCAGAGCGAGCGCCGGGGGAAGCGCGGCCGTGAGACGCGAGGTCGCAGACTCGCTGCCCAGAGGGTACACCACCGGGTGACCCGGGCGGGCGGGCGGCCTGAGGACCCACGTGAGCAGGCGCTGTCGGCGGGACACTGAACATGGAGAACGCGGAGCGGGGACAGCGGTCGCGGGAAGAGGTAGCAAAGGAGGAAAACGCAACCTTTTGGAAGTCACTCCGTCCCGCCCACTGCATTCCCGTGAACCCCGCCCCTGGGAGACGCAGAGCGAGCCGGCTCCCCCGTTTCCGGGCTGGTTACCCTCCTGCTACCCTACCGCCCCGAGCTCCTGGCGGGAGGAAGGTGAGCACGTGGGCTCTGCAGACCGTGCGCCTCGCTCCCCAGGGAGGACATCCCAGCCCTGTCTTCGCTCCTCTCCTCCCCGCGACTGACCTGAAAAGGGGAGGACGCTGTCCTCCCAACTCTAGGAAACAGGCTCCAAAATCCTGTTTTCAAAAATATATTAGTATTGACCTCGGAGAGGGAGGGAGAGGGAGAGACAGAAACATCGATGATGAGAGAGAATCGTGGATCGGCTGCCTCCTGCACACCCCACGGGGGGATGGAGCCCACAACCCGGGCCGGTGCCCTGACCGTGATCCAACCGTGACCTCCTGGGTCATAGGTCGGTGCTCAACCACTGAGCCACACCGGCCGGGCTAAGATATTTTTAAAAGTGGCGTTTGCCTAGATGTTTACCCAAATGTGTTGAAAATTCCTGGGCTCGGATGTTCTCAGCAGCTTCTTCACAAGGACCCAAACCTGGGAGCCACCAGGGCGTCCCTCATTGGTGAGGGCACAGGAGCCGCGGCCCGTCCACAGCGGCCTCGCATTCAGTGAGAAGGAGCGCCATCCGGCCACGAGGGCGGAGGAACTAGCCACGCGTTTCACCGTGAGGGGAGGCGGTCTGAAAGGCGGCGTCCGCATGACTCCAATTAGAACCCTTTCTTCCAGGAAAGGCCAAGCCACGGAGCCAGTGTCCACGGAGCCAGTGGAACATCCGTGGCTGCCAGAGGCCGGAGGAGGGAGGGGGAGGAGCTCAGAGCCCAGCGCGCAGCACGGAGCACCGCGAGGGGCCTCGCCCCTGTGAGCCCTCCTGTGGCGGGGACCTCAGCTACAGACGGTGTCAGTGCGGGCTCCGCAAGTAACGAGCAGGCCCGGCCACCGCTTGGGAATAGGAAACCCACGCAGAGGGGGGAGGGGGGGCTCCTGCTTCAGCACCGTGTTTCTGTAAACCTCAGTCTTCTAAAAATAGTCTAATTTTTAAAACACATATTTTATTGATTTTTTACAAAGAGGAAGGGAGAAGGAGAGGGACTGAGAGTTAGAGACATCGATCAGCTGCCTCCTGCACACCTCCCACGGGGGATGTGCCCACAACCCAGGTACATGCCCTTGACCAGAATCGAACCTGGGACCCCTCAGTCCACAGGCTGACGCTCTATCCACTAAGCCACACCGGTCAGGGCAGTTCTGCTAATTTTTCTAAAGTAGATTTGGATATTTCTTCCCTTTCCTAAGAGGTGATGACCAGGGATGGTATGGCTGCGCCCAGGTGCCTCACGCAAGGTGGAGGGTCCCCCCCGCCTGAAGGTCATTGCCAGTCCACTGAGTGCAGTGGGCCACTCAGCCCCTCCACCCAGCCACTCAGCAATGACTGCGGCTGAGCCCCGAGGCCACAACATTGAGAGAGACCTTCTTGAATCACCAGAAAGGATGGGAGGAAGGCCTGACCGCTGACCAGGATGGGAGGAAGGCCTGACCGCTGACCAGGATGGGAGGAAGGCCTGACTGCTGACCAGGATGGGAGGACGGCCTGACCGCTGCCTGGCTCGCCCCTGGTGGGAGGAAGGCGACTGCTGACCAGGATGGGAGGACGGCCTGACCGCTGCCTGGCTCGCCCCTGGTGGAGGAGGTGGAGCTGACCTCACCCTAATACCCCCGTCAGGCAGCCCCTTCCTGGAGGGGTAGGGACTGTGGTGAGAAGAGGCCCTCCTGGGCAGGGAGCCGGAAGCTCAGGGTGGAGGAGGGAGGAGGAGGAAGGGGACGGGGTGGAGGGAAACAGGTTGTTCTCGGCCAAGGAGGCTGCTGGGAAGTTAGCACCCGGGGGAAGGGATGGGACACTGCCTCTGTCAGGTGATGCACCCTGGAATCAAGCTCCCTCCTCTCTGGTTCCGGGGTTTGCGTCACCCAGGAACTGCCACTGCTAAGTCACCACAGCTCTTGCTTTGAGCATCTGCCCCCTGGTGGTCATTGTGCATCATAGGTACCGGTTGGCCTCCTGGCAAGTCTTCAAAGACCGAGTTAATCTCGGGGTGCGGAGACTGCGGGCAGAGGCGCCAGGAGCGGAGCGGGCAGAGGGGAGAGTGAGTGTGAGCACGCGTGTGTGCACGCCTGCACGTGTGCAAGGAGTGTGAGCACACCGGGGTCTGTGCACGGACACTGCACGGGTGAATAGTCGTGTGTGCGTGCATGTGGGTGTGTATGCATATGGGGAAGGCATGGTGTGCACGTGTGGGTGCATGCACACCACATGTATGTGAGAGAGACACACACGTCCAGAACACTGTAAGGGGATGATGGCGTTTCTCCCCAGGCCTCGCCAGGCCAGGCCCACCCAGCAGAGGTCCAAGGTCGGGATGGGACATCCCCGAGGCCCAGACCCTGGGCAGGAACTCAAGGGGCAGCCGGGGGCCAATGAGAGGAAAGCGAGGAGCCCCATGACATGAACAGAAGCTGCCGGGGTTCAGGGGAGAGGACAGAGGCCAGAGGAGACCTGGAGGGGCCGGGAGACCCCACGGAAGCCGGGACGAGGGGGCAGCGCTGGCTGGGCTCTCTCTGCCCCGCCCCCGCGGACCCCCCTCCCCCACGTCACTCTCACACTCACACTCTCCGCCTCTTCTTTGAAAAATGGCCTCAAATGAGGCTGCCCAGCGGGGGGGAATGGGAAAGGTGCCAAGTGTTGGGGCCACTCCCAGGGAGACAGCTGCCAGCAGGTACCGGAGGCCTGGGGGAGGGGCCGGGGGACAGGACAGGTGACTCACTGGTGAGAAGCCAGCAGGACAGGCCTTCGCTCTGGGATTACAGGTCGGAGAGAAGGGGCCACTCACGCAGCTCGGTCTGCAGGAGCCGCTTCCCGGGGGAGGCGGCCACAGGGCGACGTCGGTCATAAGCATCGGAGACGAGCACGGCACCCGAGGCCGTGGGCACGTGGTGGGGAACAGTTTGGGGGCTGTGTTTCACGTTCAAAAGCACTGAAGTGAAGCCACGTGGTTTTCTGATCGTTGATTTATTCCCAATATGGGCAATTTGGTAGAACACAATTTATTCAAAACGAAACCTTAATCGAGTTCCTACAATGTTTACAGAACAAGAGGGCGAGTCATTCACTAAGAGGTGCCGCTCT